GTAAATCCACAGAGTGGCTGGTGAGTTTGAACCACCAACCTTCTGGTTAGCAGTCAAATGCCTTAGGTACTGAGCCACCAGAGCTCCTTAACGTGAATAAGTAAAGGAGAAAAAGAAAGGCTTTTCATTATACCAGTTGCTGATGAGTTGACTTTGACACATGGCGACCCCATGTCAGAGTATAACTGTATTCTACAGGGTTTTCAATGGCTGATTTTTTTAAAAGTAGATCTCCAAATCTCTATTCTAAGGTACCTCTGGGTGGACTTGAACCTCCAACTTTTTGGTTAGCAGCTGAGTGTGTTAATTTTTTGCAACACCCAGCAACTCCTTCCACTATACATCTATCTCTCTATTTATATACATGGTATGTAGTTATATATATAGGGCATATATTTACATATATGGCACATTTTATAGCAAAATCTATGTGTCTCACCCTCTAACTTCAATATCTGAATGAAATGGAAGTGACTGTACTAGTTAACATTTACTAATGAGGGAAGGTCATGAAAGCTTGGCACACAGTTGAGACTACAACCAGGGTCCCCATCCAAAAGGATCCATACTAACATGATTACTTGAATGTTGCTGTGTATGTGTGAGAAGAGTGATGCTAATAATATTCAGTGGTATTCTTGCTCCCACAGATAAAGGGCACACAGGAGATGAACTGAAGGAGCTCTGGTGGCATAGTGAGTAAGACATTTGGCTGCTAACCAGAAGGTCAGAGGTCCAAACCCATCAGCTGCTCTGTGGGAAGAAGTTGAGGCAATCTACCTACGTAAGGATTTACAGCCTTGGAAACTCAGTGGGGGTCGCTATGAGTTGGAATTTGCTCAATGGTAGTGGGTTTGGAGGCAGGCTAACCAAGTATTGCTGACCAACTTTCTGCATGGAGAAAGGTTGGGGATTCTGCATGTGGGACAATGCAATGCTGAGTGGATCATTAGTTCTTTATTGGCAAATGTTCAGAAGTTGTCCCACTGACAACCACAAAACAAGGTCCCCTTTGTGAGTTAGATAAAAATTTGGAGAAATAGAACATCAACATATCGCCAACATGGTGTAGGTGCTCATGGTTTGGCCTTCCTTTTGTCTTCTGAATGAAGGCACCTCAATAAACCATGAGAGGATAGTGTCACTGGAATCACCCAAGGTAGGGTTAACACTTCATGAGTCAAAACCAAACCAAAAACCAAACCCAATGCTGTTGAGTTGGATCCAACTCATAGCGACCCCTCCTTGGGTTTCTGAGGCAGTATCACAACATAAGTAGATTGCTCAACCTTCCTTCCGAGGAGTGGCTGGTGGGTTTAAACTGCCAGCCTTCTGGTTAGCAGTCTTAGTAGCTTTAGGCACTATGCCACCAGAGTTAAATGTCTGGTTAATTCCAATAAAAGTTTCTCTCTCTCTTACTCTTTTGGCTTAAACTGTTTGCATAATTATTCTGGTAAAAGGATGGACTTGTACGTGCATTTGTATATTATAATGCATTGAACTTATGCTTCCAATATGCTGTCTAGAGTGCAAAATGTAAAAACAAAAAAAATCTCAAGGCACTTTTTGTCAAAAGCAGAGTACTCATACATAATCTCTCTACCCTGCAAAACAACAACAACAAAAAATATATACCTGCCTATTTTGTTTCATATCACAGAAGTAAGTTAAGGGGCAACATTGAGGCAATTAAACTCTAAAGGTTAGTGGCTCAATCATGGAGGAAAAGATTTAATAACAAATTATAGCATTCTCACTTTACTCTCCTAGCAGTTCTCATAGGTAAATAGCCCTCCCAAGTCAAACAGAGGTCATGAGCTTTCCATCTCAGAGTATCCTGACAGCACACAGGCATTTGGATTAAAAACACATGAAATGGGGTCATTTTCCCAGGTTAGAGTTGTATTTGTTTGTTCTGAGTCACAGCTTCCTCTTTACTTTCACACACATTTATCGATTGCACACAAAGGAACTTCTAAACAGCTAAGCCATGCTTTCTGATCTGGAAGTTCAGGAAGGTGCAGTCCTTTGGGTATTTGGGGCCTTAGCTAGATTAGCCTGCTCATCCCTGCTTTGGTATGTTCATGCCCATATACGTGGAGAAATCTACTGAGCAACCAAGGAAACAAGCCCATTACTGAGACATCTCGATTAACTCTTCAACACCGAAAACATGATCTCCATCAAGTGATGGACTACTGGCCAGTAAGTTGGCCCTTACCAGCTATCCCTTCTCAATCCAGGAATCTGGAAGCAATAGGATGTCTGTCCAGTATTCTAGCTCCTGCTTACCCTGTGCCTTCTTTTCCCTGGGGCTGAGGATGCTCCCAGGGCTTAACTCCACTGTCATGGAACAGGCCATGCCTTTGCACCTCAGCAGTATTATCAGATAAGAAAGCACTGCCAGTGGGTGAGAGGGGCCATATCATCAACCAGTGCCACTGGTCGTGGGCTCTGAGTAGGAATGCAGCCCAACTGTTGGCTTATTTTGTCCACCTAAGTTCAGACAACCTTTGCGTCTCCCAAGAAATGCAGGTGAGAACTCTGACATGGTTATTCCTAAAATCTGTCTTCCTAGTAGTAGTAAGTGAGTTTCGTCTCAGCAGTGTTGAAAGCTGGGGACATCCTTCCAACTGTCTTTTTACAGGATGAGGGGCCACAGGATACCTCTTGGGCTAGGTCCTCACTTCAGCAACTCTAGGAAGGTTATGAAGGTGCAGGGAACGACAGTAACAGCATTATCTTCAGTGAGAGTATGATGTTCACTCCTGTTGGAGTTCTTGGAAAAGGCACATTCAACTCCAGGACTCTTTCATAATTCTCCATATCTAACAGAAGTTTGCTTTTTAATTCTTTGGACTGTAACTTTATCATATGATTGAGAAAATGGACTTTTCATGCCACTAGCAATGCCAGCCACCTTATCATTTTCATGATCTACTTGGAATGGAGAGCTGACCTTACTATTTTCAAAGAGTTTTTGCAGTCTTGGTTAATGATCCATTTTCGTACTACCAGATGAAAAACAACAAGGGTCTAGATGTCTCCTTTTTTAATTTTTTTTTGAATTAAACACTGACTTTTAAAATATAGCATGTGCTATAAAAATCCTCACCTTTTAAGAGCTGAGCTGGCAAGAATGAAAACCACTGCAGCCTTTGGACCCCAAGACCCGGTTACTTTGATTCAGTCCTTGAACTTCAGCTACTGGTTAGAAACTCCAGAGAAGGCCTCATTCCAGCCTTCTTCTCTTTTATGTATCTAAGCCAGCACTCACCTACTGACCAAATCCAGAAGAGAGGAAACCTGAAGACTCGGTTTAAGGATCAGTAGCTCACTAGACCCACTGCCTGGAGGAAGGTGTTCTGTCACCCAGAGCTGCTCCTCCACAGCTCACTAAGGGCACAGCCGCCAGTCCAGAGCAGACAGCTGTCAGTCCTACCTGACAACCCCATACTCTTTACTCGGGTTCCTTCCAGAACCAGTTCATTCAGGAACCAACTCTGCTGAGATGGTGGATTTAGCGTTTGCTCAAAATCTCCAAACGCCTACACATAGCTGCTTAGATTTTGCTGTGGCTGCAATATTCCGGAATAAATTTTAAATAGATAAGCTTCCCTGAGTGCCTTTCAGGAATGAGGAGCTTTTTATTAAAAGAGTGTGCAGCTTCCTGAATACCTTTTCACTGGAGTGTCTCTAGGTAACATGTCCCTCTACTACTCTCTGAGCTGAGCCTGGGAGGAAAGAGCCATGCCTCAGCTGAAGCAAAGCTTGGGGTCATCTATGCAGGCTAAGGAGACAGAATCACAGATCTGCTCCCTTGGGCAAAGCCCAGCTTACTCCTAATCCGGCTGCCTATGTCCTCTATTTCCAGCTCATACCACCTTCCAGTGGGGCATCTCCCCCTCTCTCGATGCCCCACAGTAAAGTCACTAGGGCAGGTGGCCAGTCTTTTTCAAATGTGGAGATACACTTTACAAACAACAGAGCTCGCCAGAACCAAGGCTTTAGCTCCCCAATACATGCCTGTAAGATGTGTTCATGACTTGGAACCAAGGTTCATCCTAGCCCTTCATGACTTCAGGTGCTGCACAGGGGTCCCCAACCAGTTCTCCAATTGCTACCAACCAGTCAGTTATCAACCTGACTGGCAGAAAAGGAAGGGAGCAACAAGCTCAATTCCTTTATCTCTGAAAAGTGAACATGGAAATCTATTTAAGTTCTTTTTCCCTTGAAGGAATTTTGATATAGGCCTGGTGAGGCTGTGGTACACTTTTCTGGAATCCTGGCTACTGGTAAGGTGGTTCTACAGCTTGTGAGTCAGGCCCCATTTGCAGAGTTCCACCATGCTTGGCTCAGCAAACACTTTCTTTGCCACAGGATAATCGTCACACAAAAGAAGTCATAAAGAAATACAATTTCAAAAAGACACAAAAGTTGCATGCTCTAAAAGGAGAGTGTTAGCCTCTTGGAGTCACCTACAGACATTAACAAGAGCAAATCTAGACTAAGGTCAGTGTGGTTAGGGCCCAGACAGCATCATCTACTTCAGCTGCTAGGGAACAAAGAAGGGACTGGAACTAAATTAAAAGCTAGGACTAGCAGATGTTAACACTATGGAAACAGGCAATGAGGTAGAAGAGGCACTTACGTGGAGGGCTATCTGCATTTCCCATGGATGGAACACAGACGAAAAGAAAAGACAAGAGACAGACCCAAGAGAAAAAAATAAGATGTAAAAGAAATGAATAGAATCTGCAGAGCACATGGAGCTGGAAACTCAAACTATCAAATTATTTCAAATCCAGAAAGAAGCAAATCCTGTAGAAGGAAGATGAGGCAGGCTTCCTATCTGTGAAGAGATATGGGGCTACTTTGCAGGTCCTTGGCTCCAAACAGAAGGAGGCAAAGAATCCTCCTGTGTGTTTTCTAATTCCAGGAGTCAGAGAGAGAGCCCAGGAAACTCTTTGACCAACCAAGGAGTCCAGTGCTTTCAACACCTTCTTTAGCTGGAGGGACCATGGAGACTCCCAGGGATGCAACTCGGGTCTGCAGAGGGATATGACTATAGCTGGGTTTGCCCACAATCTGGCTGTTTGTAAGAACGAAGGGCACAGCATGGCAGAACGAGTTTAAGGAAAGAGGTAATGATGGAGGAAAACAAAGAAATGTTGCTCCTGGTGTGGGCCGGGGAGGAGAGGCAGAAAAGTCAAACTCCACAGCCTTCCTTCTCCCTGTTTCATTGTGCTTTTATTCCTAATCGTAGATGCTACAGCAGTCTCCGTTTTTCTGTAACGTAATATCTCTGCTGTATCAGAAGTCCCATAACTAATTATGTGACTCTCATTGCCCTTACCCTCTTTCTTCAAGTCACAGGGTGCCTAGGGCCTTTGTGACTGTGTCAAGAAGCACATCTCCCAAATCCTCCCACACATGCTGCTGCTTCCCTCCCCATTTTCTTTAGTAATGTGTTGCTGGTTTTTCTCTCTGGCTGTTAGTATAACGAGCTGTGCTAGCCACTGTGGCAATGTTACCAACCCCTTAGAGAGACAGAGGCTAAAGGGATTGGGCATCAGCAGCCCCTGACATCCAGTGAGCTAGGATGTAGGACCACCATGAGCAGGGGGATCTGAAATAGAAAAAGCTGTCTTCTGAACAGTGACTTGAGTCAGCTCAGGGTCCCCCACCACCCCAGGAGGAAAGAGTGGCGGGGGGCAGGCAGGGCAGCTAGTTCTACTTACGGACTGGCTGCGTCTTGAACTCGGAGGCCGCACTGATCTCGCCCAGCCCCTTGCCATTGAGGGCTGCCAACCGTACAGCATACGTTGTCTCTGGCTTCAGACCCATGATGGTGACGATGCCTTCCATGCTGGCTGTTGTGGGAGCACAGGGAAGGATCACAAAAGAGTGAAAAGCCGAGTGGACAGACTGTAACATGGAATTGACTTGTCTTTGTAAGTTGGGATGAGCTTTTAGGGAGAGGTTAAGAAGGCAAATGGACTTTTTTTTTTTTTTTCTTTTTGCTTTAATCTTATGTTCTTCGGGCCCACCTGGCCCTAAAAGCTGAAGGAGTGGTAGATGCTTTCTGAAGGAACTAATTCTCTATAAAACTAAGGTTGGATGATCTCTCTGAATGGCTGCAATACTGACGTCCCAAACCACCCTCAATTTCACCCTGGTCATCACTTATTAGATCAGGATTAAAAAGTTCTACAGGCACAAGTCACACTTAACTAAATTATTCCAATGAAACCAAAACCAGTTTCTGTTGAATTCATTCTGACTCATGGTGGCCCCACGTGTGTCAGAGTAAAACTGTGCTCCATTGGGTTTTCAGTGGCTGATTTTTCAAAAGTAAATCACCAGGCCTTTCTTCCCAGGCACCTGTGAGTGGACTTGAACCTCCAACCTTTCATTTAGATCCAAGCACATTAACTATTTCATCACCCAGGGATATGAAATCCAAAAGGGGGGGAGGTTAAAGAGAAATACACTCAACCCTTAGGGAAAGGGAGTCTGGCTCAGAATTTTCAAATTGCATTAATCCAAGGTTCTTCTTTTTAATGTTGATTTGGAAACATACTATAGGGTTGATTTAAGAGTAGAGTTAAAGCAGTATTGGCTGGGTGGCAGCAGAGAACCCACAGCATGAACAATCCAGATATGCAGAGTAATAGGAGGTGGACTGAACACATCCAGTTGTGTTCAGTACCTCAACAGGGCTTCTGCTTGGACATGGCTTAGATGGCTTCCTCTGGTTCTAGAAGGGACATGAGACCCACATTCTGAAGTAGCAAGGGGCAGAAATCCAACTCTAGATGCAGATGTGGCCATGATGCAATTCTTGAGAGATGGTAATGGTATTTCAGATAGGTGGGAGTATGCCACCCTACCCAGGATCTAGTGAATGCTGAGGGTGTGTGTGTCCCCACACTGATTAACAAGGCATTCATGATTCTAAAAGGCACAACGTTTCTTCCTGACTTACCTTCTTTGGCATCATACCACTTGAAATGCCACGCTTCCTCGCCCACTGCTCTCCACTCAGCCTTGTACTTGAGGATGGGCACGCCGCCTGTGGCTTCTGGCTCGTCAAACTGCACCTGTGCTGTGCTAGAGTATGGCTCCACCTGGTCGATGGATGGTGAGGAGGGGGTGTCTGTGCAGAGGACAGATATGTAGATCCAGTGAGCCCCATTTGGCCTAATACCAAAACCCCCAATCACAAAGCGTGTCTCTCTCATCCTTGCTCATTCTTGAGAATCATGTTCTCCTGGCCTTTTGTATCACATGATTCTCTCCCAACATGCCCCAGGCCCTGATCCCCAGGCCCCTAATGGCTTCCTGCAGTCCTAGCACCACCAAAGCATGCACAGTGGGCTGGTGAGGGTGGAGTAGGGTGGAAGTTGCTCTAAGGAATGCTCACCTGCTTGAACAAGGATGAATTCCAAGGACTCCTGTCCAATGCGGTTCACTGCAGTGCAGTTGTAGTTTCCAAAGTCATTTTCAGAGTCTGGGGTCACCTTTAGAAGGAAGGAGCTCTTGGGTGACAAGTGTCCCATGGGATGGCCATAGACTCAGATCCTTATTTATTGGTTTAACTTAGTAAACAATAACCGGTGGCTCTTGAGTCAATTCCGACTCATGGGGACCTCATGTGTGTCATCAGAGTAGAGCTGTGTTCCCTAGGGCTTTCAGTGGCTGATTTTCAAGAAGTAGATTGCCAGGCTTTTCTTCTAAGACACCTCTGGTTCGGTTCAAACCTCCAACCTTTTAGTTAATAACTGAGGGTTTAACCATTCATGCTACCTATGGACTGAACCAGTAAAACATGCACCACAGACTCCAGCCCAGACTTATATAGGAGAGAAGAACAGAAAAGGGGCTCATGGATTCAGCCCCAAGTAGAGAATCAGTGCAGTTGAGAAAGGTAACCTGGGATGAGGCTAAGTTTCTTCTCTAGACAACGGCTCAACAGATTGAGCTGAGCAAGCAACAGAGAAGGTTTTGACTGTACTCAGAAGCCCATCCATGTCCAACTCCATCTTCTCCAACTGCCCCGCCCCCACCACTCACCTCCAGATAGCTGGCTGAGGGCGTGTTGTAGATCTTGATATTGCTGTAATTTGAGCTTGGCAGCAGCTGACCATCTCGGAACCATGAGATTGTGGCACTGGGATAGGCAAACACTTCGCAGGTGATGTTGACCTGGTTCCCCTCCCAAGTGTACACAGCCACGGGGCCCTGTAGCTTGGGGGCATCTGCAATGAGTGAAAATGACTCTCAGGGTGACCTCCACATCACAGAGCCTCACATATTCTGTCTCCTGTGCTGGGAAGACAGGATGTGTCCCAAAGCAGAGGCAGAGCCTAAGTATAGATGGAGGCGAGTGCTGTTTTCAGTGTTCCTGCACATGAGGCTGCAAGGGCAGGCTTGGGGCCAAGTAAGGTGGTAAGAAGCATGTGGAAGGCGTGTGGGTGGGTTTGGGGACAAAACCTAGGGCCACCCACCCAGGGAACCTGGCAAGAGCTCACAGAGTTCAGGGGCCTAGCTGCTATTTTCCGCTCTCATCCAGATCCCGCACTGCTCTCCCTTCCTCCCCAGCATCTGTTCCCGGTTACTTCTCACATTGCACTTCAAGGTACATGGATTGGGAATCCTGGCCGATGGTGTTGCTGGCAGTGCAGATGTACTCTCCAGCGTCCGTATACTGGATGCTTTTCAGGGTCAGGGATGACACGCGGGCATGGCTGCGCACCACCATGTGCCCATCCAGGGTCTGCCAAGAGGGAAGGGGGATGTGTCAGAGCCTGAGACAGAGAAGAGGGTGACAGTGGCGAGGGCAGGGTGAGGGCTGTTTGTGATCAGTCTCACATCCTCCCTCCTCTGTGCCAACATCTGTCTTACTTTAGGTACCACCTAATAGAGGCAGCATTGGGGAGCACCATGGGAGCTTGGGTGTTTCTAAAACAGGGACTTCATGTATGTCAAGCAGTCTAAGCTATGTGCCAAGGTTAGTTTAGGGCAAGGATGGGCAAAGTCCCCAAGGGACTCCATCGAGTGTCTAAAATGAAAGTAACAGTCCTGGGTAGTGGGTATTCAGGCAGCAGCAGCCTTCCCCCATGAGGTTCTGGGAAATCTACTCATCATGCTTTCCTTCCAACAGTCTGCCCATCTGCCTGTTCCACGGTGCATGCACACGTAATGGGAAATAGAAATGTGCCCAAATGCAAGAAATTATACAAGAAACTCCGATTTCTGCAGATGTCTCTCTTTCTTGCATGCATAAAAGTAATTCCATTCAAAAAAGTCAAACAACTTAGCTCAGGAATTGTTGGGCTGAGAGTGAGGGTAACTGTGTCCCCTCCCCAGGAACAGCAGTATAGAGAGTCCCACACAGATTTAGGATTCTTGACACCATAGTCACCACCATTATCTAGTCCTTGATCCTACAACTGACTTCCCAAGTGTCTGGAATTACAATGATTGGTCAAAAAGAGATTAAGAGTAAGATCCTTGGGCAATGGACACTTGGAATATTTCCATTTTTTCTCCCCTTGACACTCTAAGTAAAAGGTCTGGGGGGCCCAGGAAGAGTCTAGGGATGTGGTTTAAGTTCAGAAGGTCCTCAAGAAAAGGTGGTAATCTAAAGGGTGCAGCTCCTTGTGAGCTGGGCCACCCTCTTGTCTCCAGCATATGATATTCTGTAGAGATGGGCAAGACAGTGCTCTGGAAACAGCAACTGTCACCTTATGGGGTTGTGCCTTTAAAGAATGAAAGAATAGTTGGCTTTAGGCTCTTTTGATAAGCTAGTTGGGAAGCACTAAATCCATTAAGTTCTATGTTATATGGCAGCCAGTCTCGGGAGCTCAAAAGCAAGGCACCATTGGCTTTTCACAGCAGTCTCAACAAACCTATTGCAAGATGTCTTTTCTACTGTCACTATCGGATCGAATCCAGGTCAGTCACTTAAACCCCATTACATTCCACATCTGGAAGCTGGAACACTGCCACTCATAAGAAGACAGAAATGCCGAGCAAAACCATCACCACATACTGCTATGTGTGCCTCTCCTCTCTGAGATGAATGCCCTACTGTCTGGGGCTCTGAGCTCCCATTAACCTATACATCTATGAAGCTGGCGGGTTGAAAAGATGCATCCCATGAAATGCCACTTATTAATGAGAGCTGACAACAGATAGGTGTGGAGCACTTCATTATAGAGAGCCTTGAGACATACAGTATGTTGAAGATTAGATTCTGGGACCCCTTTTGTTGTGAGCTGGCAGGGCTGTATTGTTCGATCCCAGTGGTGATTTTTATATGCCATGCAAAATCTTTACCCATCAGTCTAACTATGGGTATCCAGAGCATGAAACCATCCCAGCAGGTATCTCTAATGAGCTGACTTGAGCTGCTTGACACTCCTAGTTGCCCAAAAAATAGCAGGAATGAAGGCACAGGGCACTCAAGGTTCCCCGCTCCCTGGGCTTTTCTGGTCATCCCAGTGAAAATATAGGTTCAGTCTAACAATGATGCCACAATGATTCTTTGTGACCCAGATGGTATTTGTCTGGGGGATGCCATGTGCAAGCATGGAAAATTGACCAGAATCTTCAGAAGTCAAGAGGACATTTCCAAAAGGAAAAGATACTGCAGCAAAAGAGGCACAGAAAGTCATGTAGGTAAGAGTAGGGTCTGAAAAACAACAACAAAGCAAGGGAAAGAGGGTCTTAACTCAGACTAATCAGAGTGGTTCAAGGGGAGTTCAGGAAATAGTTGTATTGATAGCTGTACATTGTTTTCTATATCCTCTCTCCTTTACCTAAATTTCTCTATGTGGAAATGTCTCTAATTTACTTGTGTCAACAGACCATTAGGCAGAACCTCTATAGAGAATTCTTATCTTGCAGTGGCTCACGAAAGGATAGACAACGGGATTGTTTGCCAGATGCCTTCAGTCTTCCCTCTGAGGGGATGCTGATAGACTCTAGTGCGATTTCCCCTCTGAAATGTTTCACTCTGGCACCAGGACAAAGCCAGGGAGTGCCCCTACATGCCACCCAGACCACAAGTCACAATGACAGTCCAGGCTATGGCAGAGGGAGCAGACACGTTCTGGGCAAGAACGAAAAGGTTATGACAAAACTCCATTTTTCAAAAGAGCATGCAGAGTAATCAACATTATTCTTCTTGTCAAAACATTTTGTTTCCCTTCACCCAGGTTAAAGTACTAAGGCTTTAGAGAGCTTAAAGAATGGAATTGGCCAGATCTTAAGCCTTCTGTGGGACTCATCTGTACTAAGGTCTTCATCTCTGAAGGAAACAAATAGGAGAGAATGGAACTTCTGAGCCCCAGGGGTGTTGCTCACTTGAAGGTCAATTAGGTCCAGAGTGAGTCAAGACATACTTTTGGAAAACGGAGTGAGGCGTCTGCTTTCCTGGGAGTAAACCTATTACATTAACTTGTAATAATAATTTTCCTAACATCTACTAATATTCTCTGGCAAATCCCTTCTCCTCTACTACCCAGGTCTAAATCACAATGACAGGGGGAAGATGTGCAGGACCAAGCAGAGTGAGATTTGTAGCTGCTCAAGAGTAGCTGATAACTAACCCTTCTTCTCTCCCTTGCCCAATCCCAATGGGTCTATGACTTTTGGGCAGTAAAACATCCAACCTGCGACAGCACTAAGCAGTTCTTGTGCCATAGGAGGGTAGCATTTCAGAGAAGACGTGTACTTAACTATAGTCTCTGTGACATCAAGGAAGGTATGAAACAAAGAGAGCTTATAATGAACTAGATCGGATGATGGGAGAGTATTCACTGCAGAAATGAATGTCAGTGCCTGGGGACAGGCAGTCAACTTTTAAATATTAAACAGCATTAAATATTTATTTCTATGACCTGGGCACATGAGTTATATGTTCTGAATAATAATCTATTCTGAAAGGCTAAGAGGATGGATCTACCTAATTAAAATACAGAGTCTATAGGATCTCCATATTCTGCATTTAAGGTATTATAATATCAAAGTCCCATCTGGAAAAGAGACAAGAGCTACTTTTTCAAAACAGTATTTCCAGATTTGATCCCTGTCTCTCATTGAAAGTATACTAGTTTTCATTCCACTATATGCCACTTGATCATACACATCAGGGAAAATATGATAGGCACAATCATGAGCAGGACCTTGAGGCACAGCAATTAAAACCTAAAAACGAGTATTTAAGGTCTGTTTTCAAACTAAGTCCCACATTACCCAAACTGAAACAAGTAGTCAGAGAAATTTCAAAGGCTTTACTGACTTTGACAAATATAAAATTATTTGTGCCAAATCATTCTAAGCTCCTCAATTTAATGCTCTATAAAAGTTAACATAGATATGTTTAGCAATTTGGGAAAACCAACGAGAGATGTCATTTGCATTGCTTTTGAGATGAAATGTGAAGTGATAATTTACCAAGACCAATCATTATAAAACAAGTGAGCAACAAGATGAGTTGAGCTGGAAAGGAAAGGGCTGAGTGGGTTTTCAGATCACTAACTCTGTAACTTTATGATCCAAAGTCACATCAAGCAGGTGAGAGTAAAAGAAAAATTTCATCATTTCCAAATGCCTGGCCTGGGAATTGGGGCAATTTATTTCTATAAATATAATTACCTGGATATAGTTTTACCAGCACCAGCAACAGAATAAGATCCAGTTTTAGGATATAATAAGGATTTGTTCATCCACTCCCAACACAGCTTGCTTGCTCATCCTAAAATGACACTATTGCTTAGTAATGGCTACCGCTATTGACCTATTCTTTAATCTAATGAAAATGACTAATTAGTTTAGCATGTCTAGTTATTAAACTGTAATGTTGTCAAAACTAAAGACTGGCTAGTGGTCAGGTAAGCTATACCTCTTGCTTCTCTGGTCGAGTCCACGAAGCCTGGAGAGAACAAGATATAAAACACAACAAGAAAGCAGTAAAATTTTACAACATGTTGCTTTAGAGAATTGATGTATCACACTGCATTCCGTGCACATGCAGCTTCTTCTCAATTCAGAACTTTTTCCAAGACCCACTTTCAATGGTGTGTTTATTCCCCAATTTAATTTAGAATTCAGTTGAAAGCAATGTTTCGTCCTTAAGCACATTAAATGCAAAGGTAAAGACTTTCCTAAGCTGTGGTAGACATATATAGGGGTCTTAGCAACAACATTAGACTGCTCCTGTTGCACAGAGTCTTAAATATTCCTCACGGGTTGAGTGGCACTACTAGTTCTTACCCCATAATCTAGAGATACTTATAGAGTTTCTTCCTTTAGATTCTATTAGACAGCTTATTGCCGATATACTAATGCCATTTTATGCTCATGCATTTTACAGCTCTTTGCATGCATTCTGTTAAAAATCATTATTATTATTATTATTTTTTTTCAAAAGGAAAAAAGCAAGGAACAGAGAGGTACATTAGGAATGAGAAGAATGCAGTCCTTGAGACTATGAGTCAGGAAGAGTTGAGCACACAAATGAGTGCTGGGGTAGGGCTCTCATCAGTTCCTAAAGGCAGAGGAACACCCAGATGGCATGCTGGCTCCTGCAGGCACAATCTTCATCAAACATGGCATTCACAAGGGAGTGAGCCAGCATGGCAGCACGGACATTTGGGGTATCTTCCTGCCCACATCTACATTTTTTATTTATCTGAAACTTGGGAAGCTACTTTGCTTACAGTTTTTCTATTTTCATACCAGGAGTCAGTAACATCATACCTGCATTGTTCTTTTTATTAGGTGGCATGACTGCCTGATTATCCCTGATGTTCAGATGGAAAAAGGATAGAAAAGATGCTAGAAACACAGGAATGCAATCCAAGGAATGTTAATGAGTCGGCAAGTGTTTACTCAAAGTCCACTAAACGCAAGCCTTCTTTTTTGTGTGAAACGAGGATGGAAATGTGTTGTCACATGATGTTGGAATGAAGAAGAAAATGAGAACAGAGAACATGCAAAGACCAGAGTAACAGTGGGCCAACATGTCAAATGTGGTTGCCAGTTCCACATCACTTAGAAGCTTGTCTGTCACATGCCAGGGCTGGATTCATCAAGATCTTTTTTTAGGGTCTGTATCATATGCAGTTGTATGTTTTTCAAATCTGATACTCCTTCTGTCTCTTCTGATTTTATGGCTTTTAGAGTAAGTGGTTCCTAGTCATCATAATGCTTCTAGCAGCCTGACCTCCCACCTGTGTGTGCTTGGCCTTTATCATTTGGTGAAGGTATGGCCCACTTTAACCTGATATGCAAATTGCATACATCAAATAAATTAGAGTATGATTAATAATGCTCCAAAAAGAATGTCCTACGTTCTGTAAATGTTATCATAATTTACTTATGTTAATATTTTTACTATACAAAACATTGTTCCACCTCCTACTTTGGCGAGTAGCAACTGGGACCTTAAAAGCTAGGAAGCTGCCATCTAGATGCAACAACGGGTCTCTCCTTGTCAAGAAGAAAGAAGAAAACCAAAAT